TAGTTAATTTCAATTATCTTTTCAAATCTCTATCTCTAAAACTTGATTTGTTAGCGTACAAATTGTCCAGAAGCTGATACCTCTTTTACCGGAACAGCTTTTAGTGCTAAAATATTACATTTGTATAAAGCAAACAAAATAAAAATGCATAAAAGTATCCAGTATCCACCTATTCCAGAATGTGAATTATCAGTTTTCAGGTTCTTTGCCTAATATAGTTCAGGGTTGACGTTGAGATGAGAAAGTTGAGAGTAGTGTTTTTGTGGTTAAAGACTTAAAGTGGTGTAGTTTCAACAATTACATGTTGATTCAAATATGAAAAGCTGGTGGTCAAAGTTGTCAAAATGAGCTGCAGGTGGATTCATTTAAAGCTACCGTGATAGTTATAGATCTGTTGGCAAATGACAAAGAGGTCCTAAATTTAAGACAAACTGGCTTAAGATTGTACTAAAAGAGATTCAATGCAGGATCAAACCCCCTGACAGAAGTGCACACCTAATTCAGCTGATTCTTCAGTGTTTCAGATATCAACAGATTAATATTTGGATAAAGTAACACTTTTTGACAACTCAAAAGCACATCTGATTTTTGGAGTGAAATTTGGCCTTAGAAAAACTTTTGCACTGGCTTAATGGTTATGTTTTGTTATTTCATTCAATGTTTCTCTCTCTCAGAACACACACCCCCCCCCCCCCACTTGAAGCTCTTGCTACAAGAGGGTTTCCTTCTTTGGATCCTTCTATATTTGTTAGACGTGCTTACTTTTTTTAACAAAACCCCTTCTTCTGGGTCTTTAAGGGAGAGACTAGGACAACACTACAGACCATAGTGACAAAGTTCTCTCAGGCTGCAGTTCTTTTATTCTTATATCTCCTTATTTACAGGATGGGATGAAGGAGTACTGAGCATGCAAGTGGGAGAAGTTGCTCGATTAACGGTAAATACCTTCTCTTTTCTTTTGATTTCTTAGTTGAGGTGAAACTAATTTTTGAGGTAGTTATATGGATTTATATTCAAAAAATTTAAAACTAATTTTTGAGGTAGCTATATGGATTTATATTCAAAAAATTAAAGAGGTAGTTGAAAAGAAGGAGCTTGATATCTCCTGGGTGATTTTAGATGATTGAATTTTCATTAGATTTACTTTACAAAAATGTCGTCATCCTTTGGGCTTACTGGCTTGTCAGAAGGCATTATGAAGCTTTTTACAATTTACAAATCAAAATAAATTGATGGTTTTCAGATCATTCCCCTAACAGCCCTTTTTCAATTTTTGTCTAGTCATAGCTGCCTACTTCATACAATAATTGCACTTCTCTTTCCTCCAAAGAGTATTAATCCTGCTATAATTGTACATATATGAAAAATGAAGTTTCTAGGCTTTATATATTAAGATCTTCTATAAGGAGAGTCTTAACTGACGTCTTAAAATGTTGCAGTGCTCTCCTGATTATGCTTATGGTGCTGCTGGATTTCCAGCATGGGGTATTCAGTCCAACTCAGTTCTGGTTTTTGAGATTGAAGTCCTGGGTGCACAGTGAGCATTTTCCCAACATTTGGGCAATTCCTATGCTGTTGTACTCTTTGCAGTAGACAGTTTGGTGATGGTTAGACATAATATTATGGCACTTGGTAAGACAGCTTTGAGGGTATCCGAACTGCTCATGTACTTTGCATTATGCAACTTCTTAAAACATAGGCTGAGGTACTGATGAATGCTTTCTAGCTTTTCTCTGGGTTATGGTCGTTCCAAGAGACCACTAATTTGCCTTTGAAGACAATTATTTACTACTGGAATAAAATCGATTTGAGTAAAATGGAATAGATATAAGAGGATTCATATGGTCAACCCAACTTTTATGGGATTGAGGCATATATAGATTATGTCGTCCTCGTCGACTTTAAATGCTTGCCTATGCCTTCTATAAACAACTAAAGTTTCTTCACAAAACTTGCCAGAGCTCAAACAGAACTGGTGGGAACTTTCAATTTGACAAACTAGGAGGAAAAGATGGGAATGGGATAATGTGAGTAATGGTCTTTGGTGGTGTACATTGGTGTCTCGGGCCACAGTTCTGATTTCTTTACTTGCTTTCATTATCGACTATTTAGTAGTTCAGAAATTGTGACATATTGTTTAGCCTTTTAGATGGTGCGGACTGAGATGATACACCTTTTCTACTCCTTTTTGCATTGGCAACGTCCGTAGGGGCTTGCAATAATCTAGAGATAAGGTCGTGTAGCATATTGGATGAGAGACTAAACTAGAACGATGGTTGGGGTGTTGAAATTTTCATGTGAGGTGGTTATGGTGGCAATGGTAAGAGTTGCCGTAGCGCCACCAATCATCGTTTCTGTCAGAAAATCTGTCGATTCCAGAAATAATTGATCTTGTCTGATTTATTCTTTGATCATGGTTATGATAATGACTGTGTTAAAGCTCCCAGAGAAGTACTGGAGTGAACTGTGATCAACAAATGTCCACAGGCTACTCTGTGGACTACAGAGTGTCCAATTGCTCAGTATATGTCAGTCCTCTACATGCACATTTGCCATAAGGTTCTATTTAACATTGTCAAAAATAGGGGAAGAAAGTTCTATCTATCCAGTTAGCAGTTTGACCAAAATCAATAACCAAAAAGGAGTCCGAAACCTAATTGTGGTCTTTTTGGACTCTAGCGACCGTAATAGGTAAAAAAAATAAAAAAAAATAAAAAAGACTGGGCACTATTTTATATATAGCGCGGTATATATGCGCTATACCTATATAAAAAAGCGTTCCTTCTCCTTCTTTCCCCACAGACGCTACCCCCTCCCATTTTTTATTCCAGCAGCGGTCTTCCCCCCCCCCCATTTTAAACAAAAAAAAGTTCGGTTGGAGTCCACCGATCTCACAAAAAAGTGTAGATTCTCGATATTGTAGCAAGCTAACATCGTATCTAAAGCGTTATCGCGTAGTGAGTTGTTCGTTTCGGCTCCAAATCATCAAATATTCAACTTTCAAAAAAAATAAAATTGAGGTATTTCGATTTATTTTTTGTTAAAATTCATGTATAAAAAATGCCAATTAGTTATTTTTTACTGTGTTTTATGTTATTTCGTGATTGTTTTGTGATTTAATTAATTTTTTATTTTTTATCCGGATTATATTATTAGTGTGCTAAATATTTTTTTAGTAAAATAGAGAAATTGTTATTTTATGAATGATTAATGTTTTTAGTTGTTATAAAAAATGGTAATTAGTTATTTTTTACTATGGTGTATGTATTTTCGTGATTGTTTTGTGATTAAATCAATTTATTTTTTATCCGGATTAGATTAATTATGTGCTAAAAGATTAGTAAAATAGATAACTTGTTATTTTAGGAATAATTAATCTTATTTAGATGTTACTGTTGTACATATATTAATATGTGACTTTAATGTTGTTTAGTTCCCTGTAGTATTATGTTGTGCCCGTAATTTTAATGTAGTGCCCTTTAGTGTAATAAAATGTAGTGCCCTTTTGCGTAGTATCTTTATAGTTATTGAAATTAATCATTTAATTATCTGTTAGCCCCAAAAATATCTGAAAAAAGATGATAGTTCAAACACAAACTCTCTCGAATTCTATCAACAAACGTAAGAAAATAACATTAAAAAACAACAATATTTGTCAAACTAAGTACTTTTATGTGAATATTTAATAATTAAAGTATGTATAGTTATGAAAATTAATTATTTAATTCTATTATACTCAAAAATAAGTGAATAAGGAAACAAACATATAAAACAATAAACTAACATATAAAATAAGAAACAAACATATAAAATAATAAATAAATATATAAAATAGTAAACTAACATATAAAATAATAAAGTAACATATAAAATAATAAACTAACATATAAAATGATAAACCAACATATAAAATAATAAATTAACATATAAAATTATAATATAGAAAATGTATCAACCTAAGTAACAATATAGTAAAAATATCGAATAAGTTTTAATATTAAAGATATTGCAATATATTTAAAGATGTTAAGCAATTAAAAAGAAAAATACTTTAATTAATATTGTTCAATTTACAGTCATGGAGGTTCCGCATGTGCATCCCAGAACTGCATCGCTAGAGTTACTGTTGCTACAGACCGACCATAGGTCTTCATACATATGGAATGAGCAGTGTTTGTCTCAGACATTCCACGCCAGACGTATAGACGATATGTGAGAGTTCATTAGGGTCCACCCACTCCTTCCCCGTATAGTTAGACGCCTTCAGGATTCGGGTTTCTACAGGATCATAGAGATCGGCCGGTTGCAGTTCGACTGGCGTTGATCACGGCTATGATAAGACGGTGGCGACCGGAGACGCACACGTTTCATCTACCCATCGGCGAGGCGACCATCACGCTTGAGGTCATTGAGGTTCTTTTCGGGTTGCCGGCTAATGGGTTGCTTCTAGCTTACCCGCATGCTCTCTGAGACTATAGGGGATTGCATTACCTGCATATGTTGCAGCGGCTCACCGAATTTCAGCCAGCGGAGGAGACGGCATTGAGTGGAGCCACTCGTTTGTAGCAGACGTTTGTCCGGCAGCATCTGGAGGCGATGGATGCAGAGATTACGGATGATTCACCACCGGAGGTTATCGATCGTCACACGAGATTGGTGTTGTTGCTGATGTTTGGTGGTATACTGTTCCCAAATACTTCGAGAAACCTAGTCAGCTTGAGATTTCTACATCATCTTGAGCGACTAGATGATTTACCTGGTTACAACTGGGGTGTAGCTGTTCTAGGTTACCTGTATAGGCAGATGTGCCGGGCGTCCATGGGTACCTAGAGAGACGTTGCCGGATTTTTACAGCTGTTGCGGGTGAAAACATAGTCAATTCTTTTCATGATTATAACACACATAGGGTAAGAATACCTTAAATTTTACGTCCACAATCTATATTGGGTTTGGGCTTGGGAGCGATTCCTTCAGTTCCAACCACCTCTACCACTCATCGCTCCGGATGCACCACCTCTAACGTTTCTCCCTTTAGCTTGGAGGTGGGTTGATAGGCGAGGCTATTGACGCGAGGTCGAGGCTCGACATCATCTCCCCTATTATAGGAATTTGTTGGATTTGCTTGAAGGCGCGCATGTACATGTATTCTTAAGTTTACTTGGCCTGGCTTTATATGTGTTGCGTTTACTCACGATTCCTTTGTTTGATTAATAGTTCTTACGGAGGTCATACAGTGAGACGCTCATAGCTGGTTTGCCCGATTATTTCTCCCGCGGCCGAGCTATGTGGAGCTTTTCTGTCCCAGTGATATGTCTCGATATTGTCGAGCATCATGCTACCGAGCTAGTCCTTCGCCAGTTTGGTCGACCGCAGCTTGTACCTATTCTGCCCGCTTGGCTTAGGACATATTACCAACGAGATGATCGTTCCAGGGTTGATCAGACATACTTGGATTGGCTAGAGGCCCAGATTGAGGTTTGGGACCAGAGGTGTGACCTGATTCCGAGCGTACGAATGGCGAGCATGATGAGTATATGGGCTGGTATCACAGCGTTACCCGACTTCATGTCAAGAATCATGTTCATTGCGCTGGTGGTCGGTACATTCCATACGTTGGGAGGCATGAGGCACTGGTATGTTATTTGTTATACTTACTTATAATGTTAAATTATCATTCCGTAATTAATATTTGACATGTTATGTAGGCTATTGGATTACATCGGTTCTACCAGCTAGGACTGCAGATGCTGCAGCATACCGGCGAGGGAGCGGCAACTTTGCACGAGTATGTCCGCCAGGTTACAGATCTGGTTGTTGAGCCATCGGTGGTGATTACAGAGTCAGCTGCTGAGCCTTCTACCGCTCCTATGCCTTAGACAACAGCCAGTCCTTCCACCGAGACAACTGACATGCCACCACCTTCATCTTTTAGACCATCAACATCAGTACCAGTGCCTGCCTCATCCACATATCCACTCACTACGTTGCGAGTCTCCCAGACATTGGCGAGTCTCAACAACTGGATGCAGACAGCTACTTCAAAGCTGTCTGACATATCCTATGTTGTTGCAGCATAGTCTTCTACACCAGCACCACCACAGGTTCCTCCGCCAGTGGAGGAAACATTGAGGAAGATCCTGGACAACCAGAAGACCATTATGGATACACTGGTGGCACATGGGGGAGCTATTGCAGAGTTAGGCAAACATCTGAAGAAGATGAGGAAATACCAGGCCTCGAAGAAATCAGTGGAGAGATTGAGAAAGGAGGTGACAAAGATTGCATCAGCTGGTGATTTACCATTTGACCTACTGATGGAGACATATCCATCAGTACCATCAGCACCATCAGCAGAGGCACCAGCTGGCCAGTCTGACGAGCCAGACCTTGCTGCCCATACTGCCGAGGAGGTGCTTCAGATGTTCACCAACCCCGTTATTCCCCGAGCAGAGGATGATGAGATCCAGTTGGAGGAGCCCGAGGGTAGTGATGCTGCCATGCACCCTGAGACCACATAGGGGGTTTTCTTTACTCTCTACCCTCCCTTATTTTGATTTTTCTAAGCATTGGGGACAATGCATATTTTTATTCAGGGGGGTGGTCTATTTTGGTTGGTTTGATTTGATGACATTGTCCTGTAATAACTTTAATATTATTTTCTTGTGGAGGTGGGAATTACCTTATTTGCTTGAAGACAAGCAAAAGCTTAAGTTTGGGGGAGTTGATAAGTAGGGATTTTGACTTCTTATTTGTATTCTTTTACTTTAGTTTTAGCTAAAAAATGCTTAAATGCATTCCCGAAAACTGATAAAATGTGCTTACTTGCAGGAGCATTGGAAAAAAAGCCAAAACGATGAAATTCAACTCAAGAAGGAGTATTTTTGGACAAGGACTAAAACTAAGGAAAAAGATCAAAGTGCGGACCGCACAATATTGAGTGCGGCCGCAGACTATAAAGGACCTCTGACAGAATTCCTTTGCAAAGTGCGGACCGCACAATTATTGTGTGGCCGCAGAAGATGAGGTTTAGAGATATGGAGTTCTGTATCCATAAAGAAGTGCGAACTTCACTATTATTGTGCGGCCGCAGAATTTAAGAGTGCGGATGCACTCAGATATGTGGTAGTTGCCTTACCCTTGAACTTTGGGTTTTCCGGACCTTGCAAGGAGTACCATGAGAAGGGCTTCTTGGCCTGCACTTTTGTATCAAAACTCCTCAGTTCCACCTTTGCATCTGTGAAATATTCTGTGAGGGTGTTGGGATATGGGAATGAGCTTTCACCTTTTCGGACAACCACTGACATGTTGGCCGACATGATGGCACCCGTATTTCTTGGGTACCCGGCCATAATAGATGCCACCAAAACTGCTCGGGGGATTGGAAGATTGTTCTCATTCTTGCTTGGGTTAATACGGCTGCACACAAAGGTTTGCCACCCTTTTGCTTCAAAATTGAGGGTGGTCCGTGAAATAGGAACCCCTGCTGTGATCCACAGTGGTGGTAGTACTGGAGGAGCCAAAATCTCTGCTAACCAAGGGCGAGCTGCATCACCCATAGCAAGCTTCTCCAAGTACTAGATTGCCTCTACCTCTTCGAATCCCAGGTAAGTGTTCAGAGTGCTTGGATCAAATCTGACTTTCAAATTTCTCACTTTGGTCACTTTAGTACCCTTCTTGATGTGTGTCACATTGGCATAAAACTCCTGTACCAGGTGCTCTTTGGCATCCATAACACTCTGGGTGAACCACATCTACCCCTTGCGCTCCTTGAATTGCTTAAGGACATTTGGATTGTATTTATCCAAATCCTTCAGCAAGAATTGTCGCTCAAGTGTGAGCGATCTCTGGGACCACCACTCTCTAAACTTTGTGAAGGCAGTCAAACTCACGAACCTATCTTCCCATACTTCCTTCTTCTTCGACCTCTTTAGGCCACCCACTCTAGTGTCACCTCCCCTACCATCAACAGGAACATCATCATCATCTACTGCAACTGGTGCATAGGGAGTGTGTGTAGAGGAGTGCTCTGAACCCTGGCTACCGGCATCGGAACCCTCAGAAGAACTAGCTATGGTGGAGGGTTCGTTGCGTAGTTGGTATCTCCTAGTGAATTGTGGTGGTTGGGACTGGGCCTCAGGCTGTCCCTCAGAGGCATCCCCAGACGGGACAGACGAGCTTGATTCTGAGGGCTCTGTGGCCCTACCTCTCCCAGTAGTCGGCTTTTTGGCTATTGCTTTTGATTGCACTTCCATAGGTTGAGTGCCCTTTCCTCGGCCTCGAGAAGGTCCAGCTCTCCCTTTAGATGTATCACCTCTGCCTCGTGATCGAACCATTGTCTGCAATACGAAGCACATAAGTCAGTTAAAGTTCAGAAGCATGTTACCAGTTGCAGGAAATCAGTGTACAAAAGAGGCAGTGCGGACAGCACAATATTGAGTGCGGCCACAAACTTCCTTGTGCGGACCACACAATTTCAAAGTGCAGTCGCACATGCTGAAGTGCGGACCGCACAATTTTGAGTGCGGCCACACAAAACCAGGTTCAGACTACTGGTTCTCTGAAGTTTCAAAGTGCGGTCGCACACATTTTTCCGCGGACCGCATAATTGTTCTACGGACCCCACAATTTTGAGTGCAGTCCGCACTTTTTATGTATCACATTTTGCCCTAACTCAAGATCTTCGAACCGCACAATTCAAAAATAAAACGGCACTCACTTAGGTTTTGCCATATTTGCACAATTTAAACATGGTATTTGCAAATTAAACATGATGAATGATCTACCCAGTCCCCAATGAGCACACAGGAAATTACCCACACAATTTCAAGCACACATGAAGAACATTTGACATTTTAGGACATATGAAGCACACATGAAGGCCTAAAAATAACTATACTAATTAAGAACAAAAACTTAAAAAATTGAAAAATCTAAACATGAATTGAACATACTAGTGATGAAGGATGCAAGTAAGAATCTATATTGATGAAATGAATGTGGAGTGTGAGGTACTTTGTGTGCACTGTGCTTGCTTAGGTCTCAAAAGTTGAGAGTGTGTAAATTTGTGAATAGTGCAATGAGGTACTATTTATAGGTTGACCAAAGTCGGTCAAAATTGAAGCTGAGTGCGGCCGCACAATTTTGAGTGCGGTCCGCACTCTTTACCTGAACTTTGCTGAAGTTCTACGGTCCGCACAAAAGTGAGTGCGGCGGCAGAAATTTGTGTGGTCCGCACAATTTTGTGTGCGGCCGCAGAATGACCTTTTCTCTGCAATTCAAAACTTCAGAGTTGGATTTTTGGGTCTCCAGTTGTGCGACCGCACAAAGAATTGTGCGACCGCAGATTCTTCTCTGTTGTGGCATACAAAATTATGCGGTCCGTATTTTTTCAACACTTGGCCAATCTTTTCAAATACAGTACCTGCAATGCACACTCATTCCTGCAATTCACTTCAAAACTAGTTAGCTCAATACAAAACCTATCAAAAAAAGAAGAAAATAAAAAATGAAAAGAAGCATGGGTTGCCTTCCAAGAAGCGCTTGAGTTAACGTCGCGGCACGGCGCATATTACCATCAATCACTTGAAATGAATTAACGCCACGACGTGGACATCATCAACTTTGCCAAGATAATGCTTTACCCGGTGACTATTGACTCTAAACACTTCATCATTTTTGTTCTTCAAGTCTAATGCACCAAAGGGTGTCACATTTACAACCTCAAACAGACCACTCCACTTAGACTTCAACTTTCTCGGGAACATTCGTAACCGAGAATTGAACAATAACACAATATCACCTTCTTTGAACTCCTTGTTCCGGATGTACTTGTCATGAAGGTACTTCATCTTGTCCTTATATAAGGACGAACTTGTATAAGCATGGTACCATAATTCATCAAGCTCATTCAATTGTGCTACCCTTAAGTTTGCGGCGACATCCCATTCAAGATTAAGCTTCTTCAATGCCCACATAGCCTTATGCTCAAGTTCCACTGCAAGGTGACAAGCTTTTCCGAACACTAACCGGTATGGAGACATACCAATCGGTGTTTTGTAAGCCGTCCTATAAGCCCAAAGAGCAGAATCAAGTTTCTTTGACCAATCTGTCTGGTTGGCATTCACTGTCTTTGACAAAATACTCTCGATCTCCCAGTTGGAGACTTTCAATTGCACGCTTGCTTGAGGATGATAGGTGATCGAGACTTTGTGAGTGACACCATACTTGGTGAGTAAGGTATCAAAAGCTTTGTTGCAATAATGCGATCCCCCATCACTAATAATCGCCCTTGGAGTACCGAATCTTGTGAAGATGTTCTTTTTAAAAAATGTCACCATACTTCGAGCTTCATTGTTGGGTAAAGCCACGGCTTCAACCCACTTTGATACATAATCCACAGCTACCAAAATGTAAGTGTTCCCACAAGAGATCACGAACGGACCCATGAAATCAATGCCCACACATCAAAAATGTCAATCTTCAAGATGGTGGTGAGGGAAATCTCATTTTTCTTAGAAATCCCACCGGCCCTTTGACATTCATCACAATGCTTGACGAGATCGCTAGCGTCCTTGTAAAGAGTAGGCCAATAGAATCTACAACTCAACACTTTTGTTGCCGTTCTAGCTCCACCATGGTGACCATCATATGGTGAAGAGTGGCAAGCCTCAAGAATTTCCACTTGTTCTTTCTCCGGTACACATCGTCAAATCACACCATCGGTACAAATCCGGAAGAGATACGACTCATCCCAATAATAGTCAAGGCAATCCCGTTTGAGCTTCTCCCTTTGGTTTGAAGAGAACTCATTTGGTACAATACCACTCACAAGATAATTTGCTAAGTCGGCGAACCATGGCATCCCGGTCATTGAAATGGCTAGACGTTGCTCATCGGGGAAGGAATCATTTATCTCAAGGCCGTTATGTGGCCTCCCCTCCTCCTCCAAACGAGACAAGTGGTTCGCCACTTGGTTTTCACTACCCTTGCGGTCTTGAATCTCTAGATCAAACTCTTGCAATAGAAGAACCCACCGCATTAACCTTACCTTTGAATCCTTTTTGCTCATTAAGTACCGAAGCGCTGCATGATCGGTGTGGACAATCACCTTTGTACCCATCAAGTACGGGCGGAACTTCTCCATAGCAAAGACAATAGCAAGTAGCTCTTTTTCGGTCACTGTGTAGTTGACATGGGCATCATTCATGGCCTTGCTAGCATAGTAGACCGGATCGAAGATTTTGTTGATACGTTGCCCCAAAATTGCTCCAACCGCCACATCACTTGCATCACACATGAGCTCGAAAGGCAAGCTCTAATCTGGTGCGGTGATAATAGGAGTAGTAGTCAATTTGAACTTGAGCAATTCGAATGCCTTCATACGTTCCTCGTTGAAATGGAACTTGGCATCCTTCTCCAACAGTTTACACAAGGGGTTCACCACTTTGGAAAAATACTTGATGAATCAGCGATCATGACCCAAGAAGCTCCTCACTCCCTTCACGGATGTAGGGAGTGGGAGTTTAGAGATCACCTTTATTTTGGCCTTGTCGACCTCAATACCATGCTTTGAAATT